AACTTGGCGTCGTTTTCGGGTTCGTGGAATTGAACAAATTCAAGAATTAAATGCGGGTTTCCTTATATGAGTTGTCCCACATTGAATCTTGAAAAGACCTTTTGTGAGTATATAAGCTCTAGGTATATAACCTTGGGTTGGGCCCCAAGGGGCACCCTAAGTTTGTAGAAGGGAAGAGTTATGGACAAAGTGAACCTTAGCCCAAACCACCACACACACGCGCGCGCCGCTGCTGTTGTTGGACCGGCCGGCCGAGCCGAGCCATGCTGGGTGTAGGTCGGGTCGATTCTTATGTTACTTTTTTGAAGAAAATTCTTTTGAATTTTTTTTCTAAAATTCTTATAGAAATTAATTCATTTATGAATTTAATTTTTCTGTCCATAACAGATCTGTTTGAAGAAAATACCTGGACAGATCTGTTTTTCCCAAACAGATTTAAATCTACCTAGGCAGATTTGAACAGATTTAAATTGGGTTTTCAACAGATTTGAGTTTGAATTACACCTGTTCATTGATTCCACAACAGATTTATTTTCAAATAGATTTAAACTTTTTTTGACAGATTTTAAACTGCCATAAACTGCTGCAGTTACACAAGTACAAACTGCACAGTTCAAATAGTTCAATCTGTCCAACATATCTGTTGAATTTTGGACTGCATCTGTTCATTCAAAATTTGCACTTGTTCAATTCAGATATGTACCTGTTCGGGTCTGCTCTTTTCCCTATAAATAAAGACCATTTCTGCAGTCTTTTGGATCCAGAAAATTGATTTTCTTGTTGTCCAACTTTGCTCTGTTTGCATAAATTCTTCATATTAGTTTTTAGAAAAAATTAAGAGAGTATAGAACACAAGGTTCTAGTTCACTGGACGAATTTGTTTGGAGTGCTACTACAAATTTGTGAAGATCATTGTATCTTGGGAGATAGACGCCATTAATCCGTAAGCACCGAAACGGGACGAATCTGTCTTAAGAACAGAGTGTCACACACTCGACTTGGCCTTTTTATTTTTCATTCGGTTCGACAAAATAAATTCTGTAAGTTATTTATTTTATTTTGTTTGATTTAGTTTCAATTTATTTTATTTACACAGAAGATTGTTCTAACAAAAGGTACAATAAAATACGAATTGTTTTATTCATCTACAGAAAAGTCCAAATTAGTAGGATATAGCGGCAATAACTAGGCAGGCGATGTGGATGATCGTAAAAGTACTATCGGATTTGTGTTTTATCTTGGAGATATAACTTTTATGTGGTCCTCAAAGAAACAATCGATAATAACTCTATCGACATGTAAAACAAAGTATGTAGCTATTGTTACAGGAGCATATCATGCTATCTAGTTAAGAAATTTGTTGAAAGAAGTTCAAGAACCACAACAAGAAGCCACAAAGATATGCGTGGATAACAAGTCAGCAACTCAGTTAGGAAAGAATCCAATCTTCCATGATAGAATCAAGGATATCGACACAAGATTTCATTTCACACGAGAATGCATAAGAAGAAGAGATCCAATTGATACACACGAAAAGTGAAGATCAAGTTGTACACATATTTACAAAGCCCCTCAAAACAACAACATTTGTAAAGCTAAGAAAAATGCTTGGAGTTACCTTATTTGGTGATTCAAGTTTAAGGGGGAGGTTGGAAAATAAACTTGAACCTTCCACCCATCTCCAGAAGCTGCCTGAAGATGGAAGACCATAATGAAGAAACAAGCTATGAAGCTTCCTTGAAGCTCACCAAGACAGAAACTTAGAAGGTAAGAAGCTGAATTCAAACCACAGCTGTAAATACACGCGTGTTTCATACACAGTTTAGAAACTTATAAATAGATTGTTAGGTCCATAAGAGGTTTGAGAGATAGAGAGGTGGGAAATAAAACCCACAGATTGTATTTGTTTGAAAATAAATTCATTCATTTGTTTGTGTGTGAGATATCATAAATTTCATATAAAATATATAGAAACCCACCATCAATTATATTGTCCCAATTATCACAATATTATCATATCATGTGTTATTGTCTACTTTAGACAGAAATACAAAGTGGTTAACCTGATGAATGAAATGCTTCCTTAAGAGATAGGAGTTTTGAAATAGAGTTTCGTTGCTACGGATGCAATATTTAGATTCAAGTCTCTCCTTCCTATTTTCTTATTGGAGAAGGCTTCTATCCCGTTGTAAATTGGAGGTATTGTCTGTATCTACAGATCTATACCAAAAAAATAGAACCAAAAAATTGCCTAAAATTTGACAATCTAAAGTGATGAGGTCCATAACAAAAAGTTTAAATACACAATATGAATTTAAAATTCTTTATTGTTTTTGGTGTTTTTTTTGGGATAAATAGACTTTTCCTATGTGGATTTGAGTCTCACGTTACTATTTTTTCTTTCTTTTATTTATTTATTTATTGTACAAGGCTTACTTCCAGTTGATAATCGGAGGTGTTATTGGGCGTCCACACTAGTCTCATCTCAATAATTTAAACAATTTATATTGTCAGACCCATAAGGCAAATCATGTTTATTAAAAAAAAAAAAAAATTCATATTAATCAGACAATTGTAAACACATTAAATTGTTTAAATGTTAGGTTTTAGTTACATCTGAGTGATCTATTACAAAAAGCAGAAAATGGTCCGAGCATTTCACTTGGAAAGAAAAGCTGCTACTTTGTAATTTATTAATCTAAAACCAGGTTGCTTAATTGGACATTGAAGTACTCAGACCCATAAGGCAGATCATGTTTATTAAAAAAAAAAAAAAATTCATATTAATCAGACAGACCCATAAGGCAAATCATGTTTATTAAAAAAAAAAAAAAAAATCATATTAATACAATTGTAAACACATAATTAGATCATATTTGTTTTTTAAAAAATGGATAACAAATGTAGTTTTATTTTGAAAACAAATATTATAATTTATTTATACATCTAATTCGCCCAATCAATTTGATTTTTTCTAAGAACAATTTATTCAACCGGCTCAACAATATATTCAACCAACTCTACAATATAAACTGTTTAAATTATCCAGGTAAGCCCTCTGGATAGCCCACCACGGCCTAGTAACACCTCCATTTTTATTTATTTTTTGATCGGCGAAAATTAGTTGGTGGGTTGTTAGGTTAACACATTGAGGGAGTTGACATTCACACTTATACATCTTGCAAGAAAATCTTATCCTGCCATTCCACTTCTAAGAATGGAATCCAAAATCTCTCTTTAAGAGAGACTCGGTGACCAAAGGACTAGCTTAAGTAAATTAGCCCCGCTTGATTCAGTAACACCTCCTGTTAACAGGATGGGGATTATTGTTGTGCCAAAGGCACAGCAGTAACTGTTGTGCCTCAATTTGAGGATTATTATGGGTTTATTTTTATGATTCGAACCGCTCATTTTATAGGATTCGTTGAGTACTTCATGCTATCAAAATTATATTCATCGGATATTAATAACTATGTGATCGGATTACATATTTTTTATGCTATTTCTCAAAAAAAAAATTATTGTTTATTTTTTATGATAAATGTAATTCGATCATATAGTTGTTGACATGCGATTAATATGATTTTTGATAAGTATGAAGTACTCAACAAACCCTACAAAATGAACGATTTGAATTACAAAAATAAACCCATAATAACTCTCAAATTGAGATACAACAATTACTACTATGCCTATGGCACAGTAATAACCCCTCATTCCCTGTCAACATCGTCAACTAAAGAGAAGCCTTACGCTTTCTTATTTCCCTCTACCGATTGGAGAGAAAAAGAGATAGAATGATTCGAGCTTATCAATTGATGAAGAGTAGTTAGTACTGTACAAGGACCCTAGTTTACCAAACCTCAAAATAAAAAACAAACACAAGTGTGTACAAATAATTAATAATAAGAAATTTGGATTGAAATAATGATTGACAAGGTTTTCGTGTACCATTATAATATATCAAATATGACTTTCTGTGTGCATTTTTGGTTGTAAGCTGTCACCAAAAAATGATTTTAAACTAACAAGAAGTGATTATCATATTAGCTTATTATTATCAAGAACCCAAAATTTTTCTATTCTTCTCCAAATCCACACATCCCACAAAATTAATTTTCATAAAGCCTAACCATGTTTTCTAAGTTACATACATGTTTGGTACTATTTCACAATGATTGTTATATCTGTGTGTATATTTATATAGCTGCAATAATGATGATGGCAACACATTTTGGAATCTTGGTTGTAGATTGACCACAAAATTTTAATAGTATATATATGTGTGTGTGTGTGTGTGTTTTTGTGTTAGATCTGGTCATTTTTAATTAAGATAATGGGTATGAGATTAATTTAATGTGCCTAAGTTGTAATCAAAAGGTCCAACTCACATCAATGATGATGAACATTAAACTGATAAACCAATTACATCTGAGGGATGGTCACACAATGATTGGTACAACACATCTCTTTGAGAATTTTTATATATATAGATTTTAAGTTGAGTTTGAATTTTTGATTTGTGAATGGATTTGAAAGAGAAAAAAATGACTGATGTAAAAGCTTTTCTTTTTTTTCTCTCATTTTTTCTCCACAAATTGAAGATTTAAACATAGCATTAAAATAACACAAATGGTCCCTTCTAATATATATCTAAAGCTAGGCCATATTGATATGAGCACTTTTGAGCATGGCTTTATATTTCAAGAAAGAAAAAGCTATTCTTCTAAAAAAATTCACCCAAAATTAGCCATCAAAATAATACAGCAGTAACATTTTTGGATAACACTTCATTGAAATTATGAAGGGCAAATAAGGGAACTAGAGGGCTACAGAGCATGCATTATTGGATTTTAAAAATTAAAAAAAAAAAAAATCTACATGAAATCACAAAATAAATGTCATATATATGCATGTAGAATCATGCCATAAATGCATATCATGTGCATTTTCTTTTCTTGATTGCATATCACAAAAAACTGTTACTCAATAACAACCACTCAGTAATAATATCATGTGCATTATAATGAAGCCAAAATCAAGTGGCGCAAACAAACACAAATTTTCACTCACAAATATACCAGAACATAATTGTGCCAAAAAAATTAATAGACCATAAAGTGTCAAAAAAACAAATTGCAAGCTTTACCAGTCCTAATGAAGGACTAGCCTTTTACAATACAAATATCAAAACCTTTTGGGCTCCATAAATAACTCCTATGTGTGCAATCAATGAAAAAAAACGTGAAAACCTCAAATAATAACTGAACAGAACTAGAAGTTGAAGCTGAAGCTGACTCGTTTTAGAGCGGGTAGTGGAGACCTCGTTCACAAATAAAAATGAATTGAATGCAGTAATTCCTTGAACCCATCTCCACCATACAAGTCGTCGATGAAATTTCACAGCCTAATCTCATACGAGCCGGCTTTGGTAATATAACGAACCCACTCCACTGTGTTGTACCCGCTCTTCTCCCATACCTACACATGGGCAATTAGGTGTGAAAAAATAAAAAATAAACAACTGTATTTCTACAAAAAGGAATTACATCATTTTAAAGATCTATCGGTATTACCTTGAGAAATCGGACTCGTAAACCCGATGCTGTGAACATAGGAACCTGTAAAACACAAATTTCAATAATTATCCAGTGGAAGATTGGTTAATATGGTGTATGTCTCATGGTATAGCAACTATGCAACCAGAACACTGACAGCCTACAGCACATGTCAAAGATGCTATGGACTTCAAATATAATGATCAGAAACATAATTTTTTTTATTTTTTTATTTTATCTTCTCTATTCATGCACATTTTGCGCACAGAAAGGTTTCTGATCCATTGAAGGTATAGATGACTTGAGAAATCATAGATGGAAAAAGAACCAAATCAAATCCCATAAAAGTTATAGTAAGCCTGCTTTGACAATCATATCATACAATCTACGAAATTCAATCTTCGTGAAGTTATGCATGTAAAAGTCATAAGTAAGCCTTGCTTTGACAATCATATCATACAATCCACGAAATTCAGTCTTCGTGAAGTAATGCATGTAAAAGTTGTAGCGTCCTACCAAATTGGCATGAGGTGGGTTATTGATACTTTCCATTCATTTCCATGACACAAGTGAACCAGTATTAAATAAAATCGTTTTGATCAAGTAGGGAAGCACCTGGAACTCCATCTGAATTGGAGGTCTAGTCCAAGACTTCTTTTCTGTCATCGTGGAAATCAACTCTACTTCTGCACTCAAGGTTGGCTCAGTTTGTCCAGGAAATTTCCTTATCCTACAATGTTGCAAAAATTAGACGAACTAGCAACTTAAAATGTCAAACAAAACAAACGAAATGGAGTACATATAAAAATCAATAGTAAAATGCTAAGATACTAATAGACGCTTCTGAAAATATAAGACCATATTATTCATGTAAGAGTATTTACAATGAAATCTACCAAATAAAGCTGTCAATACATGTTTTGAAATTTAGGTATTTTTCAAATGCTTAAAAATAAACACAATCAATATTTGGACTTGGTAAACAAGGTTTGACGTGTCAATTAGCTGGAATGCTCTTCTGAATTGAAACAAGGAAAAACACATTGGCCCCCGTTTGGTAGAGCTGTGGGAAAGTGATTATAACTTATAACCGTGAATATAAGCTGATTTTTTACTTATAAATTAAACTTCTCCTCCCCCACTCAAAGAATAAGTTGATTTTTAACTTATAAAAAGCTATAAGCTGTATTGTTAAGCTGAACCAAACACATCAAAATAACTTAAATTAAGCTAAAAGTTAAAATAAGTTGGAAATAAGCCCTACCAAACAGGGCCATTGTAGTAAACTTTTGAGTGAAGCTTGATAACTTAAAAACTTCAAGGTCTCCTTAAAACCTTATCGGCATGTTTGATTGGATGGATTAGAGCATGGGATTGGGATTATTAATCCGTGGGCCCAATTATCCCATGTTTGTTTTAACATTTGGGTTTAGGACTATTAATCCAATGGATAATTAATCCAACAAATTTGTAGGATTATTAGTAATGGGGTAGGGGTGGGATTATTAATCCAATGGATATTAATCCAATTGGATAATGAATACCACACTAATTTAATAGGATTATTAATACTTCACTATTAATCTTGTGAATCAAACATGACCTATTGTTACTAGAAATGAAGGCACACATCAAGGTCCAGCAGAGAGTAATTGACGTCGAAGGATATGTGCAAACTCTAAAAGTTTCTTATTATATTGTCATTCTATCTGCAGAACATCGTTTTTTATAAAAATGAAAACATTAATTTTAATCAATATAAGTATTAAAGTCTGAAATTATAATTAAGTAAACACAGGAAAACCAGAGAAAGCACAACCTGAGTGCACATGCACAAAAGGGAGGTTGTTGAAACAACAAACTAAACCATCTGCCCACTTTTCAGATAATCAAAGAATTCTACATTTAAGGGATAAAAAAGCACAACTGGCATGTGATTATCTATGCAGAATGTCAGCTCCACAAACTACTCAAAATTACACAAAAGCATGATTAGCAACTATATTACATTCCACAACTAGCATGTTATCCATATTGACTTAAAAGAATATTCACCAAGCTTCAACTTTTGTCTTCTTTAATACTTGCATTATCATTTCCATCAATGATTCAATATTAGTATATGTCATAACCATTTACACTTATTTTAGCGATTCCTGAGAGTTAATGTTGGCCTAGGTGCAAGGTAGTATCAGGCTAGGCAATCATACACAAATGTCCAACTTTGTTATCCCTGCACATGCCTATAATCCTTTTCCCCCCAAGCTGTCCCCTCAGGTTAATCAGATAACAAAAAATGTCTTTGTGTTAACTCCAACAAATATTTTTCCTCAAAAGCCATGTTTCAGCACAAGAGAAATTAAACACATCCAATTTGTGCATATGACACTTTCAAAAAGCAGACAGCAACTCAATAATAACTAACATCAAATACTCACTTCCAGACCAAGCAATCAATAGCCGCATTGTATTTAGCTCGTCCTGATGTCACTTGGAAACTTGTTTTTGCTGTTTGTTTTGGTACCGGAATCTTAACTACAACTCCAAGTGCAAACATTTTTGCACCAAAGACACTTTTTACCTGAAATTAAAATCAATGACATAAATAAATGGTAATCAATGTAAAAAAAAGCATGCTTCTAAGTGGAGACAACAAACCTTGACATTTACTTCCATGCGTGTCCGACCAAGTTCCTTAATTGTAGGCAACACCCGGAATGGAAGATTCACGCCCTCAGTAATACGATACCTGTGGAAAAAATGTATATAAACATAAATGTGGGCCCTAAATATATGTATATATATAGTAGATGAGGATCCTCATTCAGGCACCATCAAACAAGTAATATGCATTCACATACACAAAATCATGCCGAAAGGAAAACATTGATGACAGTTTATAAGATAATAAGATTGCTTGAACATGTTTACTGCAAGGAAATGATGGCAACATGGTACTTTAAAACAAGATTTACTTTTCTTGATGTGTGTGCATGTGTATGTATGAATGAAGCTCAACACAAAGTTAAATATTGAAAACCTACTTACAGAAACTAAATCTTGTTCATGGGTGGCTTAGGTTCTACCCAGACTCAGAGGTTCAATTTTTGTTTTTGTTCTTGATTAACCACAGGATTTGTAAACCAACCCGTACCCAACTTTCCAGATGCCTTAGCCACCATGCTAGGGATGTTTTAAAAAGTTAAAGCTTAAATATTTAAGATTCACTACCCTTCCCCAACTCATCCTAAAGCAGTGCCCCATTTTTGCCTTAAATTCATGGAGCCAAAGAAATTCCAAAATAGCAAACACTCTACAAAACATGTCACTTGATAAATTCAACAGAACAGGACATTAATGCATCAATTCAATAAAGTTGAGTAACAACACATGGATGGTATAGTAACTTAATGACTAAGAATGGTATCAGCAGTATTTATTCCAACCAGGATTCATTCAGACCTCATTGACTGATACTTACATTACCTGAGGAAGGTTTACTCACTTATCCTTTACAACAGAAATTAATCTTCAAAACTACATCCATATTTACAAGCCCATCATTCACTTAATTTCAGTAAGTGGACAGTATATACAGCAACTTCACAATTATATTCAGTGTAGAAGTAAGTTCAAGGAAAAAAAAAAATCATACACGTAACATTCTTTGCTGTTGCTTATGTACAATATATTACATTAATACCTGTTACCCAAAATGTTCATAATTGAAAAAGAATCGTAAGCTTACTTCATCAACTCAAATTCACCATCTGGTGGCACAAAACTAACAGTCTTTTCTGAGTTAAACCTTGTCAGGTTTACACATTGATGGAAAGTAACATCGTCGAGCTCAATTGTTTTCCCACTGCATGAAGTAGCATGTTCAAAGATTGGTTACAGATAAGGCATAAAAAATCCATCAAACATAAAAGAAAATTAAAATCAAATCTCAGCCAAACTACGTAAAAATCCATATGGGCAAACAAGATGCAATGCTGAATATATATAAGGACAAAAAGAAAGAAGAGGCAAGAGACCCTCATAAAACGACTAAATCCTTTCATCCATTTTAGGAACCAATCAGAAACACTCCCCCGATTACCTCTAACTCCTCTCCACCATCCCCTTTGGCAGGCAAGACTGCCAAAGGGGTACAAGCCGGAGGCAATCCGGTGCCCATCTCCTTCTATCACACACCCATTTGACCCAGTGAACCCTCCTGAGACAAACCTGCTATCTCCCCTATTTCAACATTCAGCCAAGGTCATCAAACCCTGCCTTGTCCTCAGGCCCCCAAAAAATCTTGCATCTCTGTACACTCCTCAGAGTCCACAGTCCTATTCAGACCCTCCCCCCTTTCCCCAAACCCTTCACCAGCATCCACAGACCAGCTCCCCACCAAAACGTCATCAACACCCAAAGAAGCAAATCACCCCCAACTCAGACAATACCATCCTTGCGAAGAAGATAATTTCAGCAAAGGAGTGTCACTGTCATGCTATTGTCCTCAGACTCTATTCTTACTATTGATAATTTGATGAAGAGGGGCTATAAACTTTCTAACAAATGCCGTTCATGTTTTCGAGAATAGAAAACAATTGATCATTTGTTGCTTCTTTGCTATGTTGCTAGAGAGTTATGGAGCTTGCTTTTGACCACTTTTGAAGTTCATTGGATCATGTCAATTTCTTATCCCAAGTAGTTACAAGTGCTGAGAGAGGTTGCTGGGTGAAGATGAGGAAGAAAGCATGGACCACGCTATTATGCATTATGCAATGCTTGTAGATAGTGGAACCGTTTTAAGACACAAGGATGGAACTGCAAACGCTTGAGATGTTCTTATTGCATAGCTTTTGTTTTTGGTGTAGAGGATTGTACTATGAAAATCCTCTTTTGCTCTTGTAAATTTCATATGAGAGCTTTGTCCTTGTGTTGAGCTTCCTTGAACTTTTTGTTCTTATACAGTCTTTGTAAAAAGATGCGTCTCTCAATACAAGTTTTGTTATCTATCCCAAAAAAAAAAAAAAAAATTAGAAAGTTTTAAATAAAAAAAATTACGAAGTTCTCAACATCAAGTATTCAACTCAACCGCCATAATCTCCACTCTTGCTAAGGAAACATCTACATCCATTTACACTGCCAAAGGCATAACCAGGAGGACCTGCCAAACCCTACAAACTCTCCTACTAGGATAACCCCAAATCATCTCCTTAAAACCTTGGCAACCAAGCCATGCATGGCCCATTGAATGCCAAAAAAAGAAGGGGGAAGAGGAAATGGCACCTAGATTTTGATGAAATCACTATCACAAGATGAGGTTATAGAAATAAATGTTGGAAGAAGAGCACAATTAGCAAGAATAAAAATAAGATATTACAGGACGGCAGGAATTAGTTTATCTTCTAAAATAAGTATTTACAAACAAATGAATACATGAGAGGAGGATACAAGAAGTATGCCTTTAGAAGTCACCTCTTTGTAGGACGCGATTTAATTTGTGACTCTTTTTCAAGGCCAATTTTATCATTTAAACCCAACTTTAAATCAGGCATTCCAGAAAGGAAGCACTTCATGAGAATTTTCCCAGTTACATCGCAACGCAAAACACTACCTATAATCACAAATTTTTTATTAGTGATCAAAGGAGAAGTACATCAGTCAAAACACCAGCATAAAACTATTCATACCTTTTGAAGACATAAGAAGATTGACACTTTCCACAATATCCAAAAACACCTGTTACACAACTAGGGTTATAATCCAGTAGGATGCCCATATTCGCCAAAAATGAGATAGGGAAGAAAAATGAAATTACCTCATTCTTTTTATAAACTAGACCCTCTCTACGCCAACCAACAGCACCTGTAACTTGTAAAGTTGCATTAGGAACTGGTTTATCTGCAGGCTATTTTGTCCATATGGCACCAATAAGTTAGAAGAGTATATAATATTTAAGAAAAAGAAGACAAGTCATTTCATTTTTCACAAGTAGAACAGAACAGAACTTCAACAACGGTAACAAACAAGAATCTAAAACTGATCTGGAGAATGCTGCTAAAACAAATAGCTGAAACAAACATCTAACCTTTGATGAGAATGGCGAGCGTACTCCTTCCTGAGTGATGTAAAGCTTCAGGATTTCTGGAGAAAGATTTTGGGGATAACCAAAGTCCATGATCTCTGCAATTTTGGACAAAAGTACCAAGGGTTAATGCAGATATTCATGAGAAATTTGTTAAGCCTTGTAATTGTATCATAGACAATATTGCCCAATTGCATGCTTGTGCAGGTGGCTAAGAAGAAGAGTGCAATCTAGTGCACGTTAAGCATTTTTAAAATACAAATTTCATACAGTTCAGCTCAGAATATAAGAGTGTAGACACCAGAAAAAGTTTGCATAATTGAAAAAATAAAGATGTGCATATCTATGAATTGTATGTGCACGAATGCATATGATTATCCTGAATCCAATGGTACTAAAATGTTTCTTATTAAGAATATGCAGGAAAGCAGGATGATAAAGGGGAAAGGCACGCATAAGAAACATATGATAATTCACAAACTAAACATAGATGTTTTTTTTGAAGATTCTGTCTGTCTCAAAGGCAGGGCCATGCTTATATTGAAAGAACTGCTTCAACACTTGCATTAGTTTCTAAAACATAAATTTTATATCCTCGGAGTGTTGATGTTACATGGATCATATTATTATCCTTGGAAAAATAAGAAGTAGGACGATTCCTGTAGTCAGAATTGCAGATCAACATCACAGGTGGTAGATTTGTTCATTGGTGGCAATGCAGCATCTATTATTATAAACCTCTTCAGATGGGTTCGTTTTAATAAAGTTGGTATTAAATCCCATTTTAAGTTTCTGGTAACTTACTCCCCCCATCCCATTTTATGTGTTAAGGTTGACTTTGCATAAGCTTTAAGCATCTTTGAATGATAAATTTACAGAAAAATACCCATTCTATTTGAATATATATATTTTTTATTGTGATTGTATTTAAACATAAATAACAACAGGGGTAACATGGGAAAGCGATGATTAAACTCATTGAAATTTATAACTAACACATAAAATGGGATTTCCATAAAAGGAAAGCAAGACAAGTAAAATGGGGCAGAGGAAATATTTGATTAGATGTAGCGTATAATGTTTATCTTGAGGTCTTCCATACTTTATAAGCTTAGTCTTTTTCACCCAGTTTAAATACTCCTTGTGCATTTTAACAACCCATTTAAAATTCCAAGTTGACTTTTAAAGCACACACAAATGCACTCAGATATGCACTAAGAAGCATTCAAGCATAACATAACACATGGTAACAGCATAGAACCATGTTCAAATAATATTCATCAAAAATAAAATATAAAACAACTCTAAAAGACTGGAAAGAGCTAAATGCAAAATTGAATACACTTAAAATGCCATACCATCCAATAGCTCATAAATCAAAACGAAATTGTTACGAATAGCATCTTCATCAAAAGCCCCACCAAAATATGATTTGAACAGCTGAACAGCCTGCATAAAAATGCATTCTACAAATATCAATCACTAATGAAGACATTAAAATTAATATACTTCCATGATTAAAATGTATTCAAGGTAAAGAATTTTATTTATTTTTTGGATAAATTATTCAAGGTAAAGAATTTCATTATATCTCTTCTACGATCATTCTATTTCGTATGGCTGGGCTAACAACAACAACAACAAAATTATTTGAATTAGAAACATGCAGACAAAGAAAATTAGAGAAAATACCAAGACTAAGTGGAATACAGTTTGGCTAGGTCTTGGGTTCAAATCTCTCCAATCACAGTATATCTATATAAACATGTATAACGAATAAAGCTCCAATTATTTGTATTGGTGTGCTAAGATAAAAGAAATTAGCCGCCTAAGCAAGCACAAAATTTCCTGCTCATTACCAAAGGTCTGGACTCCAAACTCAAGTAACATAAAGCCAAATCCGTCAATCAAGAAGTATAAGCATCAAGAAAATGATGACTACCTCAACAACAAACTTGAATGCACATGCTACGTTAGCATTACTGCTGACAACAATCACAATGTAGACATTGCTAATTCTCATGTAAAAGAAAGAGCAGCCTCCAATCTGCCGCACAGGACATGTACCAAGTTCTTTCGTTTGCATTATATGCGTTCGAAAGGCATCCACCATATTTCCCCTGGAGAAATGATTAGAGTCAATAAACACAAAAAATAAAAGTTATACAGCATTAAGCAATAAAATAAAATCCTCTACCATATAACATCTATGTTACATGAACTCTTTTAAATTTGTGACCTACCTACCTGTATTGGACATTTGCCATTTAGATAAGGGTATGGAAATTGTGAAAAATGTGTAGGACATGTCTAGTTCGAGATGCACCTGACCCAACACATAAATAGTCAACTTTACTATACAACTATGAGTAATGCTTCTAAAGCTGACACATAATGTAGTCATGCCTGGTGTCCTTGGAAATGAGAATGAGATGAATCCCACAATTTTGTTCTTGCTCTTGCTGGAAGCGTCGGAAATATTTGAGACATGTGAGAGTCTAAGATTAATAGTTTACTTTATTTCACTCTATAAAAGAGTCACGCAAATATTTTAAACAGCTTCAACGTTAGTTATTTCCCAATTATGAATTCTTATCGCATTGATATTATAATATCCATTTGAAAAACTATGAAAGATGCTCCTTCCTCTTCTTGTAAATAATATGATTAAATGCTTTAAATCTGATCATAGAATCTATTGAAACTCCACAAGTTAATGACTTACACCTAAGTTATAAAGTTTCCGTGTTCATTTCATCTCTTTTCCCTTATGGATATTACATGTTAAATTTGTATTAGCCCTTTTTCTACATAAATTTATTTGCCTTCCAAATTATGCAGTAAACATTCTGTCACAACTCACCAAAAGGATAATTTTTTTTTAACACTTGAATATCAAAAGAACTTCTCTTCTTCTTTCCAAACTGCTAATTGCAAACATTTCAAATCAAAAAAAAAAAACATAAAATTTTATAGTCCTGTATCACAATCTGAAATCTTAAGTTTTTTAGATGTAACTGTGATTCAAAACATGACATGAGAGACCACACACTTCAATCAGACAGAACAACACTTGGATAAAAATGCACCATTTGCTCACCAAATCACATATATTATATGTAGAGAGAGAGAGAGAGAGAGAGAGGAGCTGACCCAACGTCGTCGCGGTAGAGGCGATTGATGAGGACATCGCCGCGGAGATTCAAGAAGTAAACAGCGGAAGCAGCCACCGGCATCGCTGCAATCGATTGGATCCAATTTCCAGAATACTATTCAACACAAGGACAAGAAACGAACGATCGATCGATGCAATTTTCAGGTCACAACTAGGGTTTTCATCTCGAGATGCGAAGAGCAATGGCGACCAGGTCTTTCGTACGAATCGCGAGCGTGACTCGGAGCAACTCGGGTCGTCGGTGTTGTCTTCGATCTTTCTATGGTTGTCTTGTATGTATGTTGCGGGAGCTCGGCGAAATTGTTGAATGGTCCTGTTGGATATTCCGGGAAGAATTTTTTAATATATGTTTTTGCAGTTCAAAGTAATAATACTTATTTATTTTTTTAATAATTTTGAAGTTCTTTTTCTCCCATGTTACACTATGCTTGGAAACTTAGGAGAGGAAAGAAAAGAAATAATTACTTCAGTAATAAATAAATAAATAAAATTGTAATTTCTCTTATTTTTGTTTGGATAAGAAAGAAATAAAATAAAAGAAATGAAATGTTTGTGATTTCTCTCATTCTTTTTTGGTTAATAATACTTATTTATTTTTTTAATAATTTTGAAGTTCTTTTTCTCCCCCTGTTACACTATGCTTGGAAAATTTGGAGAGGATGGAAAAGAAATAATTACTTAAGTAATAAAAAAATAAATAAATAAATAAAATTATGATTTTTCTCATTTTTATTTGGATAAGAAAGAAATAAAATAAAAGAAATGAAATGTTTGTAATTTCTCTCATTCTTTTTTGGTTAGATTTCATTAAGAGAAAAGAAAAAAAATTATTTTATGTTATATTACTAAAATAACCTTTTTATATTTTCAATCATTTTATTTCTTTTATTTTTATAGGGACAAAATTAGTATTATAAAAATAGTAGCTTCTTTTCTCTCCCAATCTCTCCACTTTTGGGAATATTGAAAATGCGGTTTGTAAGATAAATGAATTTCTCTCCATTTCTCTCCATTTCTTCTCATTTCTCTCTACTTAGATTATCCAAACAAATAAGACAAATACATATCACTCCATTTCTTTTCTTTTCTCTCCAAATCACTCAATCCAAACATAGCGTTAGTCTCACAAAGAGGTGTGATTTTATTTTTTTTATTAATGATTTTTTTTTAATACAAATATAATAATTTAAAATTTTATCTGTCTAATAAATTTTTTAAAAAATAATATATACGAAAATCTTAAACATGGCTCGTGGTAGCATACGACCCTCAAGTTCTCCTAAGGGATTATTTGAGAGGTTCTAAATAAGTATATTTTTTGACTTTTTATGAAATATGAGTTAGATTTGAAGTGATGTGGTAGAGAGATGATGTGACTTAAATAAAATTATTTAATTTAAATAAGATAATGACTTTTTGACTTTTTAACCTTTTTAAGGGATGCCAAACTTAACCTAAGTTTAAAATCTAACATTTTTTTATGTAAAATAAAAAAATACAAATATGTTGACGTGATGGCACATCGACACTCTCATCTTCTCTGTAAAAAAAATCCTAAAATTTGAGGTCTTTCCTGATCGATCTACTTTGGTTGACAAGATCATTCGATGATCAAGTTAGTTAGTATCTTACATTGGTCATAGAAGTATTAAGTGCTTGTTTGGAATCTCTTACAAAAGATAAAAAGTCAAAAAATTACTAAAATAATATAAAAATTAACAGCAATGATAGAGAGCCCGAATTTCCCAGGCTCGAATGGCTCGAATTGACCAAAACGACGTCGTTTTGAACACAAAACAACACAAAACAACGTCGTTTTGGTCAATTCGAGCCATTTGAGCCGCGAATATTGTGGCCACCAAACATTTTTCAAAAATTAAACCTATTCACAAAAGTTTGGACAGGAAAAAAGGTTCAGTAGTCAGAGAAAAAAAGACAAATTTGCCCTTCTCTCTATCCGTTCCTCTATCCAAAAAAATTAAAAAAAAAATTCAAAAAGCTTACACAGAGCTTGCACACAAAGCTTACAAGCTTGCACACAAAACTTAACAGTCGTACTGACATACACGCACATGTCAGTACTCAGATGGGTAAAAATGTAATTTTATTATTTTACACAATATTTTCATATATATTTTTTTGTAAAAAATCAAAAAGTTATTCTAAATAATTATTTTTTTTTCCTCTACTTTTTTATCTAAAAATTCAAAAAACACACTTATACAGTTCATCCCAAACAACCTCTAAATATTATATGTATTATCCTTGTTTTATTATGTGCACTTGTAGTGTTGTTGGATCCTCATTTTGGCCTATTTCGGGAAGTGGGTTAAAAGCCACTTCACAGCTTTTAACCCACTTCTCTCTCTTACAAAAAAATCAAAAAATAACTTTTAATCATCTTTCCAAAACACCTCTTTATAGCCAACTGATGCTCAATTGTTACAAACCGTTGGATATCCCTCTTTTTCATCGTATAAAATGACCCATTGTCAGTGAATTGTGTTGCTTATGTCTGATCACTAGGATCGGTATCATTGTGCTTTGCCTAACCATCTAACTTCAGTCTTGACATTATATTGGAATTTTCTCTTTCTTAGGCTTGTTTGGACCTAAGGCCCCGTTTGTTTTCAGAGGTAAAATAGAGGAAATTGTTAGTGAGGAGATTGTTAGTGAGAGGATTACGAAAAATTATATTTATTTAATAACCAATGGAGTAGTAATAGTTCATGTTTGTTTTGAGAGATAGAGATGGGATTAACCATATAAAATTTCACAAATACCCTTTTTGCATTATTATCAAATTTGAACTTATACCAAGTAAAGAATAAATAAATTTTTACTCAATGTTAGTCTTCTTCTTTTTTTATTTTTTTAAATATTAAAGAATCCAATTATCAAAAAATATTTAGTCAATATTATTTATTTTTTAATTTTTTTAAATATTAATGAATCCAATAGCAAAGCAGATTTGCCACCTAAATAGTAGATTTGTACCGCATTTGATACCCCATAGCAGTAGACATGTACCTTATTTGATAGGAAGCAAAGTAGTAAAATACTGACTACGCAACTATGGCAATTACAAAGATCTGTTCAAGCCCACTGATAGTATAACGTACAAGCTACAACTGCACTAACCTCAAAAGTACAACAAAATGCAATTGTAGTTCATAAACAAAGAAAGATTAAAATAGCCTAATAAATAAAACAGAATTTGATCAGATACCAACAGATAAACAACTAAAACTTGATAGCAACGGGACAAGGCTATAAGCAAAATCACTCCAAAAATTGGTCCAGGAATCCTCATCAAAAATTTCAAATATGAAGGTGTCACGACCCAAACCCGCCCTAATAGGTTTAGCATCGTAGCCGACTAGTAATTCTTGGATTACCAAAGGCCTCTGAACAGAATATCATATAATTAGAGACTGCGGAAGCAAATATATAAATATAGATAGTCCATTGTGTGAGACCCCTAACTTTTGTAAACCTTATTAGGTCCCTAAATTTTGAGTTATTATAATAAAACTCTTAATTCGTTGATTGTTCGCAAATTAAACCCTAGAACTGAAAACGCATCACAGATGAACCCATACAAACTCTAATCGATCTTGGAAGCTTAAAAATCATTTCTAACACTCTAATATTAATTATTTAATGCTCAAATTTTAGATTAATCACTCCAAACCTTAGCTTCCGATTTTTACAATTTTCGTTCAGTTATTTATCTTTAAATTCAAAGCAAGATAATACAAATCGAATTATTTTTCCTAACATTAATTTATTAACTCTGCACTTGAAATAGATACTTTAATTGAGCCCAAGCCCTCACATTTTTATTAAATCACAAATTGACCCCAAACAAGTACCATTACATATTTATATATACACTTGTATCCGAAAACATTTTATTTTACAAATTTCAACAATTGTACATAAAAAAATAAAATAAATAAAAAAAAATAAAACAAGTCCATCAATTCACCATCACATAGCTAACCATCACCATTGTAGGTGTAATGAATGTACTATGAGACAATTTTCCATGATTTAAGAAAGAAAAATCTTTGACTAGGTACAAACTTTTATATGCATGTATAAGAGCAACTAAGTTGGTTTGATTAGGAGGAAAACCCTAACTAGATCATATTTAGGGACCTAATTAAGACCTTTAATCCTCCACTATTCCATTGAATTCAAACTAAATCCAAACTATCCAATCTAATTCCAACCAAGGGGCATTTTGGACCTTTTGCACCAAATGCATTATATAAAGAACCCCTCCCCTAGCATTTTACATACAAGAACAACACTTATATACACTGTGGGTGTTTGAGAAGTGGCTATTTTAGACGTTTTTTGGCTTTTTGACTATTTTAGTATCCTGTTTTAGTTTTTGTGTTTGGGAAGATGGGATGAATTTTTAGTTGAGTTGTTGTATTGAAAAATGTGTTGAAATGATGTTTAAAGTTAAAATGACAAATTTATCCCTAACATCACATTTTTCAAAATTAATGTAAAGGGGCAAAATCGTCATTTACCAAGGGATGGGACAACTTGTCAATTTGACAGTGTAGGCTGTGCCTACACTGTCCCACGGTTGCAGCAATTTTTTATTTTTATTTTTATAAAGTGTTAATTTAGGAGCCTTTTGGCTTTTTTTTTGTTTGAGACTATTTCAGCCTCAAACTGATCTTCTCAAACACCCCCACTATATTCAGCTGAGAGAGAAGAAAGGAAGGAGGGTGAGCTTGGTAGAAGAGAGGAGAGGAAGAAAAGTTTGCTAGCAATTCCAACAACCTCAAGTAAGCCACAGCACAACTCTTTCTTCCATTTTCCTTTTTCAAATACATATTATTAGAAGTTTAAAAATGGTATTTTCAGATGTGTTATAATGGTATTCTTGTGTCAAAATAAAAGGAGTTGAGCCTTGATTCTACCCTTTTTCTATTTCTCTTAATCAGTATATAACTACATTTTTCCCTATATCTATCAAAATTTTCAAAGGCACACCTTCACCTTAAATTTCTGAGTTTAATACATATTATTTAGCATGTTTTCATCATAAGATAAGTGGAAAATCTCCCCTAGCTGACCTATTTTCTCACAAACTTTCTATCTTCAAGAATTGTACCAGAAAAATCTATTTTACAGCCACCTTACAAAAATTGTAAAAAAATGTATAAAAATATTATGGACCTCCATTTTATGTCAAAATCTTTCTTAAGGAGTTTTATTTCAAGGAAAATAGGTTTCATTGAAAACGAGTGAGCGGTTTGTAAGAAAATCTGATTTTCGTAACGGTCGACGAATCTGGACAGAGCTGGAGTATTTCTGAAATAACTACAAATC